TTAAAACAAAATTGATAGTTTATAAATTATTTTAAAAAAATATTATTTTTAAATTAAATGAAAATAAATTACATAATTAATAAATTATTTATTGAATTTAATCAGGTAATATTCACGACTCCATTTTTTATGTAAATAATCGTCCATTAAGTCTTCCACTAAGTCTTTCTTTTAATTTTATAATGTTATATAATTATTGATCACTTTATGATAATAAATTAATTTTTGCACTTTTGTTCAGCACCTTAGTGAAAAGATTGCACCAACCTCTCTTGTTTGTAATTGGTTTCAACTTGCCAACTTAATTCAAATACTGGAATACCCTGACACTAATTGTTCCTTTTTGGACCACTTTACAGATATTCATTTCACTGCCGTATCGCCAAGCATCTTCCAGGAAATATCCAGCAATATCACTTCTTTAAAGTTTGCTCTTCTCCTTGACCCTCTCACCTTCTCTTACTATCGGACACAATTTGGCTTGCAGTTGAGTGCGTGCGGTTGCCTCCAGTTTGCTTAGCCTAACTATTTGGATTACCAGTGTCCTCTTTCTTCGATTTCTTCCATTGAACTTGTAGGTATACTATCTATTAAGATCTTCAATTATGATTATGCATATTTATATTATTTTTAAAGTATGTGTTAAATGAAAAATATTTAATTTTTTTGGATGAATAACCTTATTTTCAATATTTGTTATTAGATTTTTCATTTTTAAATTGTTTCTTAGCAGATTGCTAAATTTTTTTATCTTTAAATTTATTTTTACCTAATTAATATATATCTACTTAATAAATCTTATGAATTATTCTTTTATTGATCATATTTGAATCCTGTTCTAATTTCAAGAAATATTCATCGACCATCTGCTTACAAAAAAATAAGCTTGCAATTAAGCATATCTACTGGTGCTTGTACTTTACTTGGTCTAATTTGGTTGTCATCATCATCCCTAATTTCTTTAATTTCATTTATTTGTTGAACCTGCAGGTATACCATCTAGATCTTAAATCTTGATTCATGTAAATTTTTGTTGAAATGTATATATATATATATATATGTTTGAGTACATATATATTTGTTTGTTT